GCTTACAGAACAAATAGTTTCTCATGAAACAGTAGTACACATGTTGTTTTATGACATTGGTTAACAACCCCACAACATATTAACCCTCTAAATTCTCAACCTTTCTTTTTTTTGGTGAAAATACACATAGCCAAAGATACACCATTTCACAAATTTCTACATGCACACAGTTCAGTGACATTGACTATGCTCTTCCAATTGTGTTGTTATTCTCACTTAAGATGAAGGCTTACAGAACAAAATAGTTTCTCATTTAACAGTTACTACAAATGTTGCCCTATGACAATGGTTGACAATCTCACAACACATCAACAATATCCTTACTCAGCCTTGGGTTCCCTATCACCAGCTTCCTTGTCTCCTTCTGCCTTCTGGCCCTTGTCACTGTAAGTTCCTTAACTTTTGAAGCCACTGTTTCCTCACCTGTAACAAGGGGATAATAATACTTTCCTAGAAATACAGTGGTGAGGATTCTTGATAATATGCATGAAGCACCTAGCATAGGGCTTGGCACCTGGTAGGAAGTCAGCACATGGCAGCTCATATTAATAATGCAGACTTTAGAGAGTGTTGTGCTTTTATACTCTCATACGGCCTCCTTCCACACTCCCTGCCCTGCCTTTAAAAACATGCTTAAGACTCACCATCTCCTGAAAGGCCTAGCTAACAAACTCTCGAAGTCCTTGGGTCGTACAAACAGTTAACGTGCTTAGCTGCTAACTGAAAATTGGAAGTTTGAGTCCACCCAGAGGCACCTTGGAAGAAAGGCCTGGTGATCTATTTCAGAAAAATTGGCCATTGAAAACTCTATGGAGCACAGCTCTACTCTGACCCACAGAGTCACCATGAGAAGGGGTTGTCATGAGTCAGAGTTGACTCAACGACAACTGTTCCTATTTTTTAAAAAACTCTTTCCCTTGGTGAGGTCCCTGGGTGGCCACAAATGGTTTTGCACTCAACTACTAAGCTAATGGTTGGTGGTTAAACCCAACTGCAGAGCCACGGAAGAAAGGCCTGGTGATCTGCTTCCTTAAAGATTACAGCCAAGAAAACCCTATGGGGTGTAGTTCTACACTGTAACACATGGGGTCGTCGTGAGTTGGAATTGACTTAATGGCAATGGGTTTGGGTTTTTGTTTCCACAGTGACCCTCTCTCCATCTGCTTCCCCTTGTGTGTGTGCACACGTGTGTGTCTATGCGTGTATGCATGCGCTCATGTATTCTCTCCCCCAGCAAGGCGCTCTCTCCACCTGCCTCACTCAGCGCTCAGTCCTCGCAGCTAGCTTCTGAGTCTGTATTTCTCATCATGTATTCCAAGTCACCAGATCACATGGAGACTAGCGTTAAATGCCCATTCCTGGGCCCACTCCAGACCTACTTAATCTGAGTCTTGGCATGGGGGTCCATCCCAGGAATCAGTATTTTAACAAGCACCCAGGAATCAGTATTTTAACAAGCACCCCAGATAATTTTGAAGCTGAGGCAAACTCGGGAAATGCTGCTCCAAGGGTGGGCTTGGGATCCTGCTCTGGCCCTGGTGGGGGCCTGGAGGGTCTGGGGGGTCACGAGTCTCACTGGGGATCACAGTCTCACCTCCTAATCTCCAGGGTCAGCAGCCCGTAGTTGTTCTTGATTCGGTACTTTCCGGCAGGAAAGAGCCGGGGATCGATTCGTACCTCGTTTTTGTACCTGTGGAGACAGAGAGGCCTGTGGCAGCAGGCAGGGTGGTTCCCAGAAAAAAGGATGGAGGTTTCTCTCAGACCTGGATTCTAACTTCATCTTTGTGCTGCTTACTAGCCTACGTGCTGCTTACTAGCCTCAGTTGCCCTCGCCTGTAAAATGGGAGTAATAATAGCACTGACCTCAAAGGGTTGCTGTGAGGATTAAATGGGATAAGGTATGCAAAGCCTTTTCCTGGTGCCCTGCACATTGCAGATGTTCAAGGGTTCATTCCTCATTCTAGGGGGCAGAGAAGAGGGGACCCATAATTAGGAGTACACTCATCCTGGTGGGGGCACCTCCAGGAGTACCCTAGGGATCAGGCCCCAGCTTTTCCCTTCTCTCTGGAGGGTGGTTGCCAAAGAAGGTACCCCAGATCCCTGCCTCCCTTGTCGATACCTCAGGACAGTAGTTCTTTGTCTTGGCTCTCATTAGAATCACCTGAGGAGCCTTTAAAACTCTCCACATTCAAGCTGCATCACAGACCACTTCAGTCACACTCTCTGGGGTGGGACCCAGGTATCAGAATTTTTTAAAGATCCTCAGGGGATTCTCAAGAATGGTCAAGTGGGTCAATCTATGCTGCTGTACTGTGGTTATCCCCTTTTGTTTTCCGCAGACTCTGGGGTCTCCTCCCTGCTGTGCGGACTGGGCAGTGAGGTAGCCTTGCCTCTTTCCACAGCCTGTTAGGCTGGGGTGGGGGTTCTGGAGGGCTAAGGAGTTAGGAGGCCTGGATTCTCGACACAGCTTGCTGTGTGACCTTGAACAAGTCAGTCCCCCTCTCTGGGCCTCTGTGTGCATGAGGGCTTGAATGGATGCCTCTCTCTCTGCCCAGCGGTGTGACTGAGATTGGAGAGGAGGCCTTGGCCAAGAGAGGGTGCCCCAGCCCCAGTGCGCTGCCTTCCTTAGACCTGGCTCCCCCCATGCCCTGTTTGCCTCCATGGCAACCAAACAGAGCCACACCCATGGCCCTCCACACAGCCCCCAGGCTGTGCCCTCTTTGAAAAGGAGCCCAACTAAATGCCCCATGGAAAGGGTGGCATCTAATCTGGATGTCCAATCTCTCCAGATCCCCCAGGCCTGGGGGTTGAGGTCAGGCCCCCCACCCCACACCTGTCAGGAACATTCCAGACACCTCAGCCTGGCAAGCCTCTGCGCTTCACAGAAAAAGCACCAGCTGCAGCTCTGGACACAGTCCAGGCAGCTGGAGGCCTCAGTGCTATCCTGGCCTTTTCCTGGGTCTCAGTGTCCCAACTGTTCAGTCAGGCCCTTGAAGCACCCGCTGTGTGGGTGATCCCAAGTGGAGGCCACTAATAAAATAAGATAATGTAAAATGAGATAACCCAGGTGAGGAGCCCGTCCCAGTGCCTGGCTCTAAGGAGGCTCTCACAAATGTGTGTGATTTTTATTATTTATCTGAATCTTTTTCTCTCTCACATATGTTGGTGTTAGATTTTACTTTTTAAGGATGCTTGGCCTGAGAGATTTATTCTAACTGGCATCAGTTAGAATCACGGCTAGGACCCATTTCTGTGGTGTGAACTTGGCCAGACTAACCAAAACCAGTTGCTGTCGTGTCCATTCTGACTCACGAAGACCCCACGTGTGTCAGAGTAGAAATGTGCTCCATAGCGTTTTCAAAGGCTGATATTTTGGAATTAGATTGCCGGACCTTTCTTCTGAAGTACCTCTGTATGGACTTAAAACTCTAACTTTTTGGTTTGCATGAAAGTGCCTTAACTGTTTGCATCACTCAGGGACTCTGAGGCCAGACTGGACTGTGTTTAATTTGCCCTGTTACTGGCCAGAGACCTAGAAGCCTGGGACACTCGGTTTCTAATACCTCATTCCTCAGCAATTTCCCCTGAGTCCTCCCTGGGCCTGCTGTGGAAGCCTTATCTCATCCCCTGCCCCTGAACGTAAGGACTGTGGGCCTTGGAGTTCTCCATAGCTCTCCATTGTCTCCAGGATTCCTTGGCTTGGCATTCAAGGCCTCCCCATCTGGCCCCAGTCCATCCTTCTAGCAGATTTCCTTTCTCTGCTCCTGCCTTTCCCTCCTGGTAACCGTGGCCCAGACCCCTGGCACCCTTCAGGGGCCTTGGTGTTGCCTGAACACCCTGACATGAGGCCTCCTGCCTTTCCTCATGCCAGCCCCCTTCCCATCTAGGAATATCTTCCAGTCCTTCAAGCTTACCCCTTTCAGGAAGCCTTCCCACCATAAGAAGAAGTCCTTCTTTGGCCCTCCCATGCCAAGTTGCTTCCTTTCTCAGGGACACTGACTCAAGATCACCCAGTCCAGTAATATGAACCCTCTGGGTGCCTGCTAAGTGCTTCTGCGTGTGCCTCAGCCTCTCTCATTAGAGTCAAAGAGACCTGGGGCAGGCTGTGTGTTTGAGTCCTCTCAGCATTGTGCATTCACGAAGTGCTCAGTCATTGCTGAGTGAATGGACTCTCCTGACCAGCCCCGTGAGCCCAGGTCTTCCTCCTGACCTGGGGCTGAGTTTGTACCAGAGCCTGGATGGAATCTCCAGAGGCCAATGCAGGGACGAAGTGTGGCCTTGCCTGAGGTGATTGACCATGGAAAACCAGATCCCAAAGCCAGGAACTCCAGGGGCCACCTGAGTCCCTCCGACAGGAGGTGGGCCTGGCCTTGGCTTCTGCCACTTGTGAGGAGTGTTTAGCTCTCTGTTGTGGCAACCTTGTCGGCAAGGGTGAAAACAAGACCCCCTCCCAGAGGCTTCCATGGAATGCTTTAGACTTGGATCTCAGTGCCAGGAAAGGGAAGGGCGTGGCTGCCAGGCCAGGACAGCTGAGGCAATGACCCTCACTTAGCTCAGGCCGGGGGTTAGAAGCAATCCTCCTATTGAGCACCAGTGTGCAGGCAAGGACTGAGTCCCAGCACCTAGCACAGTACCTGGCACATTTTATTTAATGAATGCCAGCTGGCAACGACTGGTTCAAACGTTAATGCCCTCAAAATGCTGCCTGCCTTGATTGCTCTTGGCCTAAGTGCTTTCTACTTCTCTGACTTCAGAATGTTTTGTGTGCTTTAAGGAAAACATGACTGTAATGATTACTTTCCTACTCTCTAGGCCAATGGGAAGCGTTAGGGGCTGGAGTCAGGAAACCTGAGTCTGAATCCTGGCTCACACTGGCTGTGTGACCTTAGACAAGTCACACTTGATGTCCTCCCCGGTGAAAAGGGGGTAATAGTCCCTACCTCATGAGTGGCCTTGAGGCTCAAATGGGAGAGTGGTGGAAAAGTGCTGGGTCAATTGTAATGTGGGTTCAAGTATAAGATAGTGCTTTTCATTTATGTTTTGGCTTATTTGTGTGTTTGTCTTCTCTCTGCTATTAGACCATAGTCTGTTTATCCCTCAAGGCTTAGCTCATATGTCACCTCCTCTGAGAAGCCTTCCTGAATCTTTCAGCCCAAGGCAGCCATGTCTTCCTCTTTACGTTTACTCCTTTATCTCAGATATCACCCATGAATGTAATTCTCTCTGTATCATTGTTTCTCCTCTGGGCTGAGAGTTCCTTGAGGGTGAGGTCGTGTCCGGTTCATTTCTGTGCCCCAGTGCCCGATTCAGGGCCTGAGACAGATTGCATGCTTGGTAAGTATTTACTAAAATCCCTTCCTAACCTACCAAGAAGCCCTGGTGGTGCAATGGTTAAGCGCTTGGCTACTAACTGAAAGGTCGGTGGTCCAAACCAGTGGGTCTGTGGGAGAAAAGACCCGATGGGGGCAGTTCTACTCTGTCATATAGGGTCTCTGTGAGTTGGAATCTACTCGATGGCACCTCACAACAACAACCGCACCTGCCAAGGTACCTGGCAATGGGCCTTAGACCTGGGGGGATCAATTATATGGATGCACACCTCCTTCTGTGGTCTCCATTGTGCCAGCTCAGGAGAATCCTGCTGCCTCCCTCTGCCCTCCACCAGCAGGGCCTAACCTCTGTGGCTCTGCTTTAGTTACACTCCCAGGAATGGCATCTCTTGCTTTCCCAGTGCTTTTCAAGTTCTAAAGGCATCCACATTGTTGTAGCCCTAAATCCTTACCTCATGTAAGCTGGACAGGAGGTTTAACCCATTTTACAGAGCCGGAAACTGAAGCAGGCCCAGAGAGGTTAAGAGACATGGTTAAGCCCATACACTGGGTTAGTAGAGAGAGCTAGGTATGGAGCATAGGGCTCCCACTCCAGCCCTGAGTTCCTTTTCACTGTAGGACCCCTGCCTCCTGGCCTCCTCTCCTCTTCCCCTACCCCGTGTCCTGCCTCTCATCATCCTCCAACGCTGGAGATATCCAGCCCAGAGCAGCTGTCTCCTATTTCCCCCAGAATGGTATTTTTACAAGCGTTGGCTCCCCAGTGGCCCAGTCTTGCAGCACCAGGCAGCTGGGAGGTGGCTAAGAATAACCCGGGCCTGAGCCTCCCCAGCAGCTGCTGCTCTATTTGGGGAGTGGGCCGAGCTGGTGGATGGGAAGGCTTGGGGTCTGAGGGTCTGCAGCTTTTCTAAGCCATCAAGAACTCCTGGGGGAGGAACAAGGCTCCCAGGAGGGAGGTGTTGGGCTGTAAGGAACTCCCTCTTATGTGACCCTGGAGGAGGACCCCAGAGTGTGGAGGCAAGGCTAGGACCTTCCCTCCTGCACCAGCACTTACCAAGTGACCTGGGGTGGAGGGGAGGCCTTGACGGTACAGGTTAGCAGGACTGTGGTGTTTTCCCAGACAGCGTGGGAGCGCAGAGGGATCCAGAACCAGGGCCCCCGGCCGGAACACAGCTCTCTCAGCTCCTTGCCCTCCCGGACCTTCTCCTCTGTCTGGAGGCACGAAGTGATCTGTGACTCCTGTGAGCCAGGGGACCACCTCTCCCTTATCTTTGCAGCCACCTTGCCCCCTGACGCCCAGCTCTGGAGTTCCCCTTCACCACCAGCTGAGAGGCAGTGTGGCACAGTGGGCAGGACATGGGCTTTGGAACCAGTTAGCCTGGGGTTAAGGCCTAACTCTGCCACTTGCTAGCTGTAGGACCAGAGCAGGTTGCCTAATATCTCTGTGCTTCAGTTTGTTTATCCGTAAAATGGGATGATAACGCTATCCACCCCCCCACTCCCCTGAGGAGTTGTAGGGAGAGTTAAATGAGTTAATATGTGAAAAACGTCAAAACATGCCTGGTCCTAAAAAGCCCCATGTAAATGTTAACTCTTGCTCTCTTGCGCTGGGGAGGGAGTATAAAGAGTGGCTTCAGATTCCTGACATTTGTCAGGAATAGCATTTCCTGAGGGTCTTTTGTGTCCTAGGCATTGGGAAAGTCATTTTACAAACCCAACCTCACTGAATTCCCACCTCAACGCAGAGTTGGTACCACCACACCTATTTCACAGATGAGAAAACAGAGGCTTGGGTAGGCTAAGTCGCTTGCTCAAGGTTACAAGGCTAAAGGTGGTGGCACTGGGGCCCAGGTCAGACTCTTTCCTGGACATCCAGCTGTCTCTTGAGAAGGGGGAAGGGAAGAGGTAGGAGCACAGAGCGAGCATGGGGCACAGGTCCGAGGCCGCTGGCTCTAGTCCATCCCCTCACCTGTCGCCTCAGAGCCTTCCTATCACGTCTCTGGCGCAGCAGCCTGTGGGTCTGTAGGAAGGCGATCTCTGTCTTCTCCCAGTCATTGCCAAAGCCCACGTGCTTCTGCCCGCGCTCCTCTAGCTCCACGGTGGAGCACTGGTGCCTCAGCTGGGCCTCCCTGCGGGTGACAGAGGCCATCAGGGCCTGGACAGGATCTAAGGAGCCTGGGGGGCATCCTGCTAGCTCCATCCCCATGCCCAGCATTGCCAGCTTCTTGAGAACAAGAGCAACTTTGAATTCTTTCTTGCCCCCAAAACACCCAGAAACAGTCTTGCATACAGTAGTTGCTTAATAAACACTTAATAATTGTTACCATTTACAAAGGTCTTTCACAAGCCTTTGTTATCTTGTTTTCCCTACAACCAAGTGAACAGGCATTACTGTCCCCATTTTACAGGCAGAGGACTGAGGCTTTGTGACTTGCTTCAAGTCAGATAGGACCAAGACAGGCCTCCTAGTCCGGGGTGCTGCCCAAAGCCAGCTGCTATGACCTTTAGAGGTCTTGGGGCTGGACTTGGGGCTGGATTGCTTGCCCTTCCTTTCCCTGCTTTAGCCTCCCCCACATGTGATGTCCCTTAGTGAACTGGGGGGCCTCTTCAGCTGCCTTTGGGCATAGTCCCTCACCACTGCCTATGGGCCCACCCAGAGGGTGGTATGGTAGGCTTTGCTGTCAGCCCTGGGCTTCAATCCCGCTAGCCTCTTATTTTAGATGTATAACTTGGGGCAGGTGATTTAAACTCAGTGTGGGAGCCCAGCAGGGAGGCAGGGGACTGGATAGAATGGCCCCTTTCCCAGCCCAGGGCTCTCTGGAAAGGTCACCTGACTTACCAAGACTTCTCTGAGGAGGCCGTCAGAACCAGGGCTGCTGCAAGGGCATAGTCTGCAGCGCTGAACTGATAATCTTCCTCACTGCTCCCGGGAAAAGAGGAGTGAACGGCTCCTGCAGGACTGGTTGGGGATCTGGTGGGGCTCCTGCAGTTGGGGCTACATCTATACACTTCAGCCTCAGGGTGCTAGCAGACAGGGCTGTGTCACTCCCCTCAGACTGGGCTCTTCAGAGGACAGGGCTGTCCCCACTCAGACTGGGGTCTCCAAAGGACAGGGCCATGCCTCCCCTCTCAGGCTAGGGTCTCCAGAGGACAGGGCTGTGTCTCCCCCCCTCAGACTGGGGTCTCCAGAGGACAGGGACGTGCCTCCCCCCTCAGACTGGGGTCTCCAAAGAACAGGGTTGAGTGTCAGTCTCAGATTAGGGGTCCCGGGGGCAGGGCAGGGCTGGGGTGGGGTCCCGCCCTCACACTCCCACCTGCTGCGGAAGGTATGCCTCTGCGCTGAGGAGCCCATTTTCAGGCTCCGCTGCCGTTCCTCCTTCTGCTCCTCCTCCTGGAAGTGTTCCCGCCTGTGGACCTCCATGGTCTGGGGGGGCTGGGGCTGCCCCACACTTCCAGGGTTGTGCGGCAGAGTCATGACTACGAGGGCGACAACCTGCCAGAGCCGAGTTGTGTGGTTATTCCACCAGGTGTCTGCTCATCTCTTCCCCACATGGTCCCTGTAATATCCCTGGGAGGCTTGCAGGGTAGAGGTTCTCTCTTCAGTGGGCAGACAGGGAAACTGAGGCCTGAGAGGGAGAGGATCTGCCTAAGGTGACAGAAGGTGGGGCTTCGAAGTCTGAGACCAGCCTATTCACCACCCCACACACCCTCCAGCTGGGTGGTCAGAACCCGTACTTGGCCTTGGCCCTGACTTTCAACGGCAGCCCTGCCCTCACCTCGCCATGTGACCTTGGGCAAGGCCTTCCCTTTTCTGGTGTGTTGAACACTGTAATGTCTAACGACTGTCTGTAATCCCAAATGGGCTGGTGTCCTCACTCTTCCTGAGTATGCCATGCTCAGTCCTACCTCTGAGCCTTTGCCACTCTTGTTTCCTCAACTGGAAAACCCTTCCCCTCCTCCTGGATCATTTCACTCTATTCATACTTCAAAGCCTAACCTAAGAATGTTTAAGTTAGTGCAGTGGTTAACCATGGGGACTCTGGGTCCGGCCTGCTGGGTGTGATTCTACCTCCTCTGCTTACCAATGTATGACCATGGACAAGATTCTCTGACTGGGTTTCCTCATCTGTAAACTGGATCTACAGATCTCCCAGGGTGATTGTAAAAGTTATATGAGTGCTTGGTGTATGGTAAGTATTACATAAGTGTTAGGCATTAACATTGTTTTTCTAAGAAGCCTTGCTGAAAAGCTAATGTCACCTAGCACTTTCTCTTCTCTAGTCTCTTTTGTACTTTTTATCTGCTCTCTACAATTTAACTCTGATTCAGAAATATCTCCTCTTGCTATTTAATTATTTCGTAACTCTGCATCCTGACTCCTCAACAAGATCATAAGGTTTACCATAAGCAAACTAAAAGAAACAACAGTGAACACTTACTGTGTGCCAGACCCTGTGATAGAGTTTTCAAACACATTATCCCCAATCCCTAGGATAGCTCAAGGGACAAGTGCACAGTTATTACCCCGTTTTACTGATGAGGAGGTGAAGGCTCAGGAGGGGGAGCTGCTTGCCCAAGGTTGTCCAGCTGGTTGATGGTGGAGCCAAGACTGGCACCCAGAGCTGTCCAACACTTGAGCCCTCTTGACCTCTATGTTACACATCTACCTGGGGGCCAGGCCTTGGCCGAGTAGAGACAGAGGTGAGCCAATGACTTTTCTTCTCCCAAGGGGATCACAGCCTTACTCCTTTGTATTCCTGAGGCTCAGGTCTAGGCCCCCAGATGGCGCCCTGTAGGGTTGGATCAGATTGATCTGGATGAGGCTCAGGAATCAGGTAACAGGTCTGTGGATGTGGAGAGGCCAGTGAGGAGGGTGGGAAGCAGTGTGCTAGCTGGCTTTGGGATTTTGCATCAAGTTCTTTCCCAGATCTGGGCCTCAGTGTCACTGCTGGGTCTCTGAGGGTCCCTCTGATGCTAAAGTTCTACTACTCTTGATGGAATTACTGGAATGGCTTTCCTGCCTCCTCCAGCTGGGAGTCTGGTTGGCAGGCCCCTGACTGGGAGAACACTTGCCAGGGCTGGACCTTACGCAGACCCTGGGAGCCAAGAAGGAAAAGAAGAGGAAGCTACTCTTGCCTGCCTCTAGGAGGCTCAGCTCTGCCCTGGCCCTACCTCTCCCAAAAGGCCTCTGGAGTGGAGTGGTGGTGTGAGTGTGTGTGTGTGTGTGTGTTTACGCGCGCACATAGATTGTGTTCTGAGCTGGGCGTGAAGACATCTGGTGACCATTTCTCAGTCCATGACCTGGGAAGGGGCCTACCAGCCTCATCAGAGATCTCCTAGCCCAGAAGGGACCTGTTGTGAGATATCAGGGGGCTAAGGCCACCCTGGGACAAACTCATTGGGCATTTACTCCTTTGAGTTCCTAGAAGTTTGCTCCCATTGGGTGTCCACAGGTAGACACCAAGAAAGAGAGAATGGATGACCGCAGTGTTAGCCAGACCAAGGACTGCTCCCAAAGCCACCTGGGCTGCTGCTGCTGACAATCTCAGCTGACCACGATGGGACAGCTTCTCAAGAGGGAAGAGGGTCTCCCGGCCCCCAGATTATGACCACCCTGCTCACGGCTGCTCTCCCCTCCTCACAGCCTGAGAGGAGTGCCGCTGGCACCAGGTTGGGCAGAGGCAGAGGGAGGCTTTCTCCCAGCTCTCCTGGGACAAAGAGGCCCTGGCTCCAGCAGCTGAGGGTTAACTTTCCTGTGCGTCAGCCTCTGGCTCATCACCTTCCCCACCCCCTCCCCCCAATGCCCTAGTCCCCGATTAGCACAGCGGGTCCTGGGCCTGGCTCCTCCTTGACCTCCGGGGCCTCCAGCAGCCAGACCCCCCGGCAGTAGTGGATGAGCCATCGGTTCTTTTTAAAGCATGACTGATGCTCGGGATTAAGCAGGGACAGGTTTGCAGCCTCCCTGCCCTTTCCCCCATGACCAGGGTATTCTCTTCCCAGAATGCTGTGTGTGAGTGCCGGGTAGGGGGATCGGTGGGCTGTATGTTCGGAGAGGAAACACCCCCTTGCCCTTTTCTGGGGGTTCAAAGCCCTGGACCAGAGGTCCTGCCAACCTCCTCCAATTTCCTCTCAAGCTTCCATCTGCTGTCCCATCCTGGCCCTCCACAGGCACCCCTGACTGAGAAGCGGTGAAGGGGCAAGGGGGCCACTCTCCTTCCTCAGGTGGGAAAGAGAAAGGCAGACAGGCTGTGTGATGACCAAGGTTCTGCAGAGAATCGGTGGCAGAGAAGCTCTGTGCAGTGGGCGGGGGAGTCTATCTGTACACGCAGGGACCCTTTCTTAGTCAACACGTCACCAGCTTCCAAGAGGCCAGAACTGTAGTTGAGGCATCTCCTTTCCCCTCCCCAGGCCTCCATTCCTGTCAGTGAGCCCGGGCACAGGATGGGCTCCCTTCCTGCTCCAAGAATCAGGCTCTGAGGGGCTTGTTCTCTGTCTCTGCCTGCCAGTTGGCCAGGCGGGGCTCAGCCAGCACTGCTTTAAGTTCACTGGGCCTGCCAATTCCCGCCCCATCACAGGAGAGACCCCAGTTCCCAAGGTGTCCCCAGATATCTTGTTTTGCAGTTTTCATACATGGAGGACTCAGTTTGGAAGAGCGACACGGAACAGTGGGAAGGGGCAGGGGCTCCTAGGGCCCCCTCCTATTGTCACTCGGGTTGCGACTTCAGCAAATGTATGCTTTCTCTTTCCAAATCTCTCAGGTCCCTTTCCCAACACACACACACACAAACACACACACACACACACACACACAGAGAGAGAGAGAGAAATCTCTTCCCAATGGAAAGCTCAGGGTCCCACTTTCTGGGGGTCCCTCCCCACCCCTGATCCCAGGGGGTGACTCACAGAAGCAGCTGTGCCTACTAAGGAGTCTCTAGGGAGAAGGTTCCAAAGATGAAGGAAGGGGTCCTTGGTCTCTTCTCGCCCTCGGTTCAGCGGGGACTGGGACAAGAATGTGATCCTGGAGCCTGCACGGGTCTTAAATATAGCAGTGCTGAGACAGTGCAGTGACAATAGATGAGAACTATGATGGGAGGGGAGAAGAGAGGGACTGTCCCCTCCTTCCAGCATTGCTCAGGCAGCAGGAACAGGTGGAGCTGTCTCCTCCCCCTGCCCCCAGCCTCCCTGCAATCTGCTCCTTCTCTCAGCTTGAGCCCTTCTGCACAACTCCACCACCAGCCCTCATTAAACGGGAAAGAATAGAATAGCTCAAACTTGGTTGTATGGATGGCAGATTAAACAACAACAACAAAAAAAACCAAACAAAAACCAAACATATTGCTGTTGAGTCAATTCTGACTCATGGTGACCCCACGTGTTACAAAGTAGAACTGCTCCATAGGGTTCTCTTGTCTGTAATCTTTACAGAAACAGATCGCAAGGGCTTTCTCTTGTGGTGCTGCTGGATGGGTTTGAACTGCCAACGTTTTGGGTAGTAGTTGAGTGCTTAACCGGTGGCGCCACCTAGAGATCTTGAGGTGGAGATAAGGAGTGGTTTTTCCAGTTGCTGGTAGTTCTGATCTTAATCCTCCCCACCACCCG